GTTCAGGTCTTTTTTCTAGTTGGAAACTGGGTTCCTCTTTTGTAAGATGGAAATTATACTGATACCTATGTCATAAAACTGTCTTAAGAATTTGATCAAGTAATTCACTTGAATTCTTATCCGAGAGCCTGGCACATTATGTTTGTTCAATATTGTTGTTGTTGGTAAGTGCCAAGTGGGTTCCAACTTATACTGACCCTGTATAGGACTTCCAAGTAGCACCTGGTGGTTTGAAATGTTGACCTTGTGGTTTGCAGTCCAGTGCTGATCCTACAGCACCACACCAGAAGTCTGTTACCATGATTAAATTATTACTATAATTGATATTTGTACAATCCGCAGGTTGAAGGAGCAAGGATGGAGTTTCCTTTCAGAAACAGCTTTAAGACACCATTGATGACAAAAATCATTCCAGTTTCAGAGATATTAAAATATGGAGGGGAAAGGAGCCTCTTAGAATCCATGAAAGAGTAGATTTCAATTGGAAAGCTTTCCAAGATAATAAGATGGAACAGGATGTTGTTTGTAAGATATCATACAAACAAAGAAGACTTTATTTGTATGATAACATAACTTTCCCCTGTATATTTTTTAAATTATTGTTTGCTTATAAGAAAATCAGCACATTGTTAATAGTGGTCACCTCTGGGGAGTTGAGTAGGATAGACATGGAAGAAAGATTTAAAGTTTTCTGCCTTTTTTTTTTTTTTAATTAAAAAAGGTTTGGGGATCCCAGGGTGAATCCCAGTTCTGTCACTACTAGTTATATGATCTGGGAAAGTTACAAATGTCCCTAAAACGCAATTTCTTCCTCTGCAAAAGGGGTTTGTGAAGGGGAATGAAAAGAGCAACCTGAACAACCCCATCCTGCAGCCCCAACTCATACTCAGGGAGAGAAGCAAAAATAACACAAGCAAGAGAAGGCTCAGGCCTCTGAACACAGGAATATGGGTCCCCCTCAACCTCACTAGCTCTGTAGCCATCAACAAGAAGTGACTTACCAAACTTCAGATTCCGTTTTCTTTTCAGTAAAATGGAACGATAATGCCTTCCTCTCAGGGATGTGGTGACAATTCAGTGAGCCCCCAAAAGTGCTTGTTGGTGGGTTTTATTCAATATCCGATCCTTTCCCTCCTGCCTGTTATAAACAGGGTTCTTCAGTTATGAGGATCGGCTTTCCCTGTCCCCTTCGTGACATTGGGCTATTTCTTCAATTATCTGAAAGGCTCTCTCCACACTAACCAGATGATAGGTGCTGAGAAACTGGGCAATTCATTACTATTGTGTGGTGGAAAGAACACCCACCAGGTGTGAGAAGACCTAAGTTTGCGACCTTTTCCAGAAGGTTGTTAAACCCACCCCACTGAGTCTATTTCAACTCACAACGACCCAATAGGATAGAGTTAGAATTGCTCCTTAGAGTTTCCAAGACTAATTCTTGATGGAAGCAGTCTTGTCTTTCTTCCAGGAAGCAGCTGGTGCATTTCAACCACCTACCTTTCAGTTAGCAATCCAATGCTTAGCCATCAGAGCCACCAGGGCTCCTTACAAGGTTGCTGGGAGGGACAAACATGATAAGGTCTGCTAGTGCTTTACAAACTATAAAGTTCTCTGGTAGCGTAGTGGTTACGAATCGGGCTGCGAACCGCAAGGTCAGCAGTTCGAAACTACCAGCTGTTCCTTGGGAGAAAGATGAGGCTTTCTGCTCCTGTAAAGATTTACAGCCTCGGAAACCCTGTACAGGGTCGCTATGAGTCGAAATCGACTCCACAGCACATAACAACAAACAACAACAACATAGATGTCAGAGAGGCTTTGTGTTTCATTTCTCTTGTACTTTTCTCTGAAGTGCCCATACCACAGGATGAAGGAAGAACCACAAAGAAACATCAGTAGCTACACAAGTATCTTTTCATAATTCTGGAGAGGGGCCCAGTGGTTGGTGATTGAAACTAAAGTTCTAAATATCTCACTTGCAGTGGATTTTGCTCACACTGCTGGGTCACTCAGTGTATTTCATTACATACCCTCTCTGAGGTGCACACTTGCTTAATATGTTGATTTTCCTTCCTTGTCTCAAAAACACCAAGAGGAAATGTTGTAAGTGGGCCTGGCTGAGGCTACTTCTGGACAGTGTTGTAAGATGTAAGCCTATTGCAAGGACACTTCTCAGGGAAGGCTTTTCCTCCTGTGGAAGGTCTACTGAGGAGGTGGGGGCCAACTGTGGAGAGGCTAGGCCAACTGTAATGAGGGACCAGAGAAGAACCTTCAATTACTGTCTGACTGGTCCCAGCAGGATCAACTCTTTTTTTTTTTTTTTTAATCTTTTATGATTTGAGTGAAAGTTTACAGAGCAAATTGGTTTTCCATTCAATAACTCATACACAATTTGTTTCATGACAATGATTGCATTCCCCACAATGTAGCAGGACTCTTTCCACTTCCTCTCTGGGGTCCCTGTTTCCATTCATCCTTCTTTCCTATCCCTTCCTTCCTTTGGAGCTTAACCCCTGAGACAAAGCTCCTCAGATACTTGATTGTTGTAAGGAATGAGTTACCTCCTGAGGGGTGTTGGTCCCCTGATAGCTCTATTATTTGGCTCCACCACTTGTGTGGTGGATTGAGAGTTCAACCATGTCAAGAGGTAACATAGGATCAAGAATCAATGGTATTAGAGGGCCTGGAGGAAATTAGAATCTCCACTGAGTAGTATTCAATCTGTCTAGGCGGGGCTGATGAAATGAAATGCAGATAGGTCTCATGTGATACTATAGTGAATAATTGTTATCAGGACTGATTGTGAGGGTTGGAAATGTAAAGGTAGACGTTTTATAGCAAGGAGGGGAGTGGTTAACTTTCCAGCCTAGGAGTGGAGGTCCCTAGGACCATCAAGGGAGAAGAGCAGATAGCGGGACCCTACCCAGAGAAGCAGTGATGCCTGAGATGAAGGCAGAAGCAGAGACGATGTGGAGCGATGGAGCAGCTGGAGACTTTAGATCCAGAGAGGGAGAGGGACTGTGTGCTGAAGACCTGGGGTACTAGGGAAGGATTGCATGTAGGGGATTGTAACCATGACAATGAGACGATATACGATAGAATGGATGTAAAACTAATGTTCTCCCACCCATGTAAACTATCATATAATTCACAATAAAACATTAAAAAAAAAAAAAGAATCAATGGTATTGAAGGAAGGAGTCCAAGCTGCACTAAAAGCATTGGTGAACAAGGCTCCAGCAGTTGATGCAATAGCAATAGAAATCTTTCAGCAAACTGGAGTAGCACTGGAGGGGCTTGCACCAAGAAATTTGGAAAACAGCTACCTGGTCAGACTACTGGAAGAGACCCATATCCATTCCAAAGAGAGGTGACCCAACAGAATGCGGAAATCGTTGAAGAATATCATTAATATTGCATGCAAGTAAAATTTTGTTGAAGATATTTAAAAAACAGTTGCAGCAGTATATCAACAGGGAACTGCCAGAAACTCAAGCCAGATTCAGAAGAGGATGTGAAACTAGGAATATCATTGCTGATGTCAGATAGATCTTGACTGAAAGCAGAGAATACCAGAAAGATGTTTGTGGGTGCTTTATTGACTATGCAAATGCTTTAGACTGTGTGCTGTTAAGTGCTGACGAGTGGGCTCCAACTTATAGGGAAGATCATGACAAACTTTGGGTAACATTTCAAAGAGTGGGTATTCCAGAACACTTAATTGTGTTTGTGAAGAACCTGTACGTAGACCAAGAGGCAGTTGTTAGAACAGAACAAGGGAATGCTGAATAGTTTAAAATCAGGAAAAGTGTTTGCCAGGGATGTATCCTTTCCAGTCAATCTGTACGGTGAACAAAGAATCTGAGAAGCTGGATTACGTGAAAAAGAACATGGCATCAGGATTGGAGGAAGGTTTATTAACAACTTGCAATATGTAGATGATACAACCTTTCTTGCTGGAAGCGAAGAGGATTCTTCACTTGAATGAATCCAAATGGATTCATTTTAATGTAAAGAAAACCCTCTCTATTCAGGACCGTTTATAGTGAGTCCTTCCAGAGCAGTTGGTAGTGGTAGCCTGGCACAGTTTAGTTCTTCTGATCTCAGGGTTGATGAGGCTGATGTTTGCATGGTCCATTAGTCCTTTGTAATGTATGTTTCTATGCATCTTGATTTTCTTCACTCTTCTTTGCCCTGGATGGTAAGAGACCAATTCAGAGACCACCTTAGTTGACCACTTGCCAGTTTTTAAGATCCCAGTCACTAACTAAAGTAGGATATAGAACATTGTCTTTGTGAAGGATGTTATGCCAACTGACTTAGCTGTCTCCCCAGACTGTGGTCCTAAGCCCCCAAGCTCAATGATTCATTACATCAAGGTATTTGGTTATGGCTAAGAAATTGTCATAACTTTGCCTCCAGATCCCAGTAGGGTCAATTTTACAGAATAACAACTATAACCCTAACAATTGATCATACATAAATACACTATCTCATTTTATCCCCTTCAAGCCCATTTTACAGAGGAAGAAGCTGAGTTTCAGAGGCTTTAGTAGTTTCCCAGATCATATAGCAAGTGATGGCAGAACTAGAATTCACCCTGGGTCCCTGAACCATAACATGGCACAGTCTCCCCACAAAGACCCTGAAGAGTCCTTTGTTGTGTGTCTTTGACAGGAACAGGGAAGTGCCCTCATTAAGTGATCCCCATTCCTGTGAACTAAGGAGCTCTGGTAGCGTAGTGGTTACGAATCGGCTGCTAACCTCCAGGACAATAGTTCGAAACTATCAGCAGTTCCATGGGAGAACGATGAGGCTTTCTGCTCCCGTAAAGATTTACAGCCTATGCAGGGTCACTGAGTCGGAACCGACTCCACGGCACACCACCACCATCCCTGTGAACTGGGTCCCTACTTCTCTTTCAAAAGAGCCAACTTCTGTACTTTTCTTGTCCTTTCAGGGGCTCATGAAAAATGTAATAACACCACATATTCTGGTAAGTATCCCCTGGTTTGGGAGAGCTGACTTATATGTGTGCTTTGCTTTTTAAAGGAGTGGTGGAGGGTTCTGTTGGGATATGCAGGTAAGTCCGTTTCTGGGATTTGATGCTATAGTCCCTCCAGGGACCTCACCTTTGGAGGAACGGCCTTCTAACACCCTGCCCAAAGGGATTTCAGGGCACCTCAAATAGCCAGGACTGGGATGACTTTTTTATGTTGTTGTGTGCCACAGAGTCAATTCCAACTCATAGCGACCCTAAAGGACTGAGCAGAACTGCCCCATAGGGTTTCCAAAGCTGTCAGCTTTGTGGAAAAGATTACCAGGTGTTTAGGCCTTTTCTTCTGCAGGTCTGCTGGTTGGTTCAAACCTTCAGTTAGTAACTGAGCGCTACCCTTATACCACCAAGGTTCCTTAAAGAATGACAAGTGCACCGTATTTTTGGAAAGCAAGGGCCTCCATATAGTAGAAATGGCTTTTCCATAAACAAACCTTTGTGCCTTTTTTTTAAAATTAGAATTATTAAAAGTATATAGGCTAAAGATCAGATAGGAATGTGTGTGTGAGAGAGAGAGTCTTTTTTTTACAGTTTTCATTGTGAATTGAGTGAAAGTTTATAGGGCAGATCATGTTTTACATTCAACAAATCATA